TCCCTGCTACAGATGACGGCCGAGACTCTTGTCTGTGTGATGTGGACCGGCCCAGCCAAACGTAATTGTTCCCTGTCTCTACAGCCAGGTCAGATGACCACATGCCTGGGTTCCCTCCTTACCTTTAACTGGCCAGAGTCCTCCTGACCCTGTTCCAGCTTGAAGCAGCTATGGAGAATACGTCGTCCTGTGCTCCCTGTTCCCAGGACAGGCTGGAGGGCTAGGTTAGGGATGGAAACCCTGGCATAGAGTCAATCAAGAGGGTCTTTTTCCTTTTCTCAGAGAGTTCTTTTCTCAGAGTTGGGCTGCACCCTGACTCACAAGCCCCCTTTCTCCTGTTCTCATTTGGCCTTGGGATCTTTTCCTGTCTCTCTTCTTTGCCTTCTCAGGAGACAGCTTAAGAAATAATTATTTCTATATAAGTCATTCAGGATTATAATCTGGCTGTACTCAAAGATCAGAACTACAGCTACAGGGCCTTAAAAATGGTAATAGTATTTATACAAACCCCTAAAAAAAAATGGTAATAGATTCAGACATCACTGTCGACATCTTAAAGAATGTCTCTCCTTACTCAAGGTCGATTCAGGCTTAAGAATGTGAACTTCCCCCCTGTCCTTGCTAACTTCATTAAGCTAAAACTAACTGGGAAACCTGTATATTCAGATTTAAGTCATATATATGCTCTCAAAGTTATAAATACATTTAACAGATTTTGTTCCCCCAGTCCTCAAATACCTGTAGAGATCTGAGAATATGGCATTTAATATAAAAGTTTTTTTTATGATAAAGAGACATGCCAGCTCCTGGCAGCATCCTGTATCTCCTCAAGAAGACAGATGGCCGCAGAAGAACTTCCACCCGGAAGCTCCTATGGCAAGGCCGACCATACAGCAAAAAGATGAGATTCTGTCCAGACTGTGAATGGGTGGAACAATGGAGGACCAATTGCCCCATACTGCAAAGTCAAGGTGGGTCAGTCTCCCCAAATTTCTACTCTACAGAAAAAAAAAAATCTGTCAGATTTTCTGGGACTATCTGCCTTTGGGGCTTCTGTCCCCCCAATAACCATGGAGAGACTTGGGATTGCTGCCTATGTAGCGGGAAAGCTTTTTCACTTCTTAAATTTATCCTTCTCAGATCTGACGATGTTTGATGACTAGGGTATCAGTTTAACAGTCCCAATCTCAAGATTATGGAATATATACTCTACAATTTCAGACAGGTATGCCTCATTCATAGACTTCATGGTACAGGATAGACTAGTTTCAGATATAACTTCAGAGTTTCAAATTTTTAATACTGATAAATGCAGCTTTGATAAAATGATAGAACATTGACTGCAAAAAGTTCTTAAGAGTCCTTAAATGGATTTTTAATCCTTTTGCCATGATGTAAATCTGTTCCAGCTGTCTTTCAGATACCTACAGGCTCCTGGGAAAAGTTTTGTTACTGCATCAAGAAATCTGATCTGATGAAAACTAACATCTCCAGAGCCCATTTCTGACCCCACCTATTTTTCAAGCATATTTTGCAGATTCATTGTTCCTGCCCGACCTCCAGAGAAACAGCAGATGCTATGGCTTCTATACTCCTGGTTTGGCATGCCATTTTCCACCAAGCTCCTGGAATACCACTGCTGCAACCTGCCTCCTCAGCTCCCTCAAGGAACATTTCTGAGATTGTCTGCCATGTGTGACTCCCAGTTCCCCCTCCCCACTTCGCCCCTTGTCAGCTTGAAGTAGCCTCGAGAATTTAGCACCCTTGTCTCCCAACCTGCTCCATAACTCACCTCTTTTATAATAAAACAGTGGAATGTTAATATTCTGATCCACCCCTTGAAATCCCACCTCTTGGCGCTACCTTGCGTCCTGACGTAAAAGCCTCATTCTAAGGAGAAACTCCTCCCCTTCCTCTCCCTCTTCTGCTTTTCCTTTCACGAGGTGCGCACCCTCAACTCCTCTCTCTCTTCTTCTCTCTCTTTCTCTGTCTCTCTCTTTCCTATCATGTCTTTCCTTCATCTCTCTATTATAACAAACTCTCCACGTGGATGCAGTGTCTGGGTTGTGAATTACTGGCCTGCGCCACCACCGCCGTGCCCATAAGGCATGCATCTGCCCAGCATGTTTCCCTGCATGCTCGGAATACCCTTGGGGGTTCCCCTGCACAATAATCACAATAATTCATAACACAGACCAAGGTCCAACTGTTGTTGGAGATTTTAACACTCTAGTTTTAGTAATTGATAGAACAAGTTTAAAAAAATCAATTCAGATATGAAAGATATTAAAACTAAAAGCCAACTTGATCTAACAAAGGTTTACCTAACACTTTTCATATTCTTTGGATTGTAGATTTTTTTATGTGCACAGAGAAGATTCACCAACAAAGATCATATTTTGAGCCAAATTAATTTATGGTAATTCCAATTATACAATATGTTTTAGACAACATTGGAATTAAAATTTTCAGTTATTGACTTCATTGGTCTGAAGTCAATAACTGAAAAATACTTGGAAATTTTCCAAATATTTGGAACTAAATAACAAATTTCTAAGAAATAATGAGCCATTCTGGCTGTTTTGAAGAAAGGGTACATTATATCCCATTATAACCATTGTATAATCTATATGATTTTTGCTTTGGTTACCAAGATCAAGTCTGTGGTGATATATTTGTAATCTAAGAAAGCTTGCCTGAAGATCAGAGGACAGACAGAGATAGCCACAGAGTTAGCCATAGAGGCCAGGCAGTGGTGGCACACACGTTCAATCCTAGCACTCAGGAGGCAGAGGCAGAGATCCGGCTGGATTTCTGTGAGTTCAAGGCACACACCCTTAATTCTGGCACTTGGGATCACACACCTTTAATCCCAGCACTAGGAAGGTTGAGACAGGAAGTGATATGGCTGGGCAGAGAAAGGAATATCAGGCAGGAGAAGACAGGAACTCTCTCTTTCAGGCATGATTGCAGGCTGAGGAGTGGCTGTGGCTTGATTTGCTTCTCTGATCTTTCAGCTTTCACCCTGATATCTGTCTCCAGGTTTTTATTATAAAACCATTTAGGATTCATGCAACACAAGTCTATCACAAAAATCAATCACCACTTGACTCAGTTTGCAAACACAATGCAGGTCTTGCTAGAAAGCACAGTTCAAAGGTCCAGCCTAGAGAACGGCTTATTTGCAAACTTCAGCTGTTCTCATATTGTGAAAACCTAAGTTATTTTGTAAAGCACATTCTTTTTAAAAATGTTATCTGCACTGGTGGTTTTGCCTGCATGTATGTCTGTGAGGGTGTTGGATCCCCTGGAACTGGAGTTACAGATAGTTGTGAGCTGCCATGTGGGTGCTGGAATTGAACCCAAGTATATTCTTAAAAGAGTGACCTTTAGTCCTCTCCAGAGCAGCTGCTTGTCCTTTGCCATGCTCAATTAAATTAACTGTGCCCATGAATCTTACTATTAGCCTATGCAAAACAAGTTAAAATATATGCAATTATGAAAATTTAATGTTGTATTGACAAGGCCAAGGATTCTGGATCATTTGTAGTGATGTTCTCTCCCTCTCTTGGCATAACTAAACCAAGATTTGACTGCCTTTAAATATAAAGAATTCTGATATCAGAAGAACAAATAACTGAACAGACAGGAAAACCCTGCTCAGTTCGTGGGTGCTCTGATCAAAGGGGAGCTCAGGGGAGACATGGAGATGGTTCAATGTAGGTCAACGGAGGGGAAGGCTGGGACACAGCTTATTCCCACAGAGCCAGGAACTCTCTGGACCTCTTCCTCCTGCGTAGAATGTGAGCCTATAATGACCTCAATGGCGTCCCAAGCTGTGCCTGTGTAGATATAATTTGCTTGGAGTTTCAAAGAAGGCTTCCCAAGAGAGTGCTGCTGGACCTCCTCACACAGGCTGTTATGAAAACTAGACCTCACAATGCCACATGTGATGTAAGTGCTGAACTAGGTGTGAGACAGTGAGGGAATCCTGGAATGCACTAGAATGCAGATCTGAGCCTTAGTTTTAGTTTAACTCTAATAAAAATGGAATAATCATTATGCAAATTCTTAGTTTCCTTAAGATATAAGACACAGAAACACAAACTGAAATGTTAGGGAAAGAGGGCAATTTCTCACTGTGGAGGGAGTTACAAAGGCATCTTGGAGATGAACTTTGAAAGGCTGGTGGAGAACAGAGGGTTGAAAAGCAGTTATTTGTACAAAAGCTGTACAGCACCTGGAGGAAGTCAGCTTTACAGAGTCAGACGGACATCATTTAAATCCTCACCCGCCTCTCCCAAATGGCCTTGGACAAATCAGCTCTATGAGTCTCACTTTCTTCAAATCTAAAAATGGCTGAGAATTACCTGAGAGTTCAGGATTAAAGATAACTGTTTAAAACACAAAAGGTATACCTAGCAAGCAGCAGCTGTTCAAAACCTAAAACCTTCCATTACCAAAGGCCCAGAGACCAGAGACAGGGTGTGGCAAGAAGTCATTAGCTGACAGGCAGAGCAGAGAGCGTGTCTGTAAAGGCAGGTCACTGCGCGACTGCAGGGGAGTCAGACCAGTGTGTCAACAAAGAGCCTGCGGTTGGAAAGTGTGTTCATGTACCGGTGAGGTAAGCTGAGAGGGAAAGGAAATCAGAGAACACCAAGAATCTCACAACACAGAGCTGAGGAGATAGCTCGGCAGGCAAGAGTGCTTGTTGCACAAATCCCTAGTACCCAGGTAAAATGCCAGGCATGGCTGCATGCTGCCATTCCTGCACTGTGGGTGGGAGGAGACAGGAGGACCTAGCTCCAGGTTCAGTGAGAGACCCTGTCTCAAGGGAATATGGAAGAGGGTGATAGCGCAGGTCTCCCCCCAGCATCCTCCTCCGATTTCCATGTGTGCACATACCACATGGACCGCACACACACTCACACATATTCACACACACACTCAGATGCATACAAATTTGCGTAAAATATACATAAAATATATCCAATGCTTAC